ATTCTGCTCCCCCCTGAACCTCCCACGCTCCACTCTGTTCCCCCCTGAACCTCCCCAAAACCTCCCAGCCTCCAATCCACTTCACCGGAACCTCTCCAAAAGTGCCCAGCCTCCACTCTGCTCCCCCTGAACCCCCCAAAACCTCCCACCCTCAGCTCCATCTAAACCCCCCAAAACCTCCCACCCTCCACTCTCCTTTCCCTAAACCTCCCCAAAACCTCCCACCCTCCACTCTCCTTTCCCTAAACCTCCCCAAATCCTAATGGACTCTTGTTAAGTGCAGTCAGTATAAGAACCTGAACGTGCACTGGTATCATCCTAGTGTGGTCCTTGTACAGCAGAGCTCAGACTGGGGGAAGGAAAAACAGCACAGTGAGCCAATCAAATGTGTTACAGTTCAAAGAGCATCCTGAGAGGAGGAGAAAGCCGAGTGATGGAGGAATGAGCTGCATCTCCTTTCACTGTCCAGTCACAGGGTGGGGGTGGGTGCAGCAAGAAAAGAACAGAAAATAAAATACCTTTGACAGTAAGCAGCCTGTATATATATATTCCGGTTTTAGCCTTTTGCCTCAGTTTCAGCATTAAGAATTTCTGACTGGTATAAAAAAAGTGACCAAATCTTCAGTCAGGACAGGCAGGGTTCAGGTTGAATGTCAGGACACTGTTATGGGGACACCTGATGTATGGGGGCACTGTGATGGGGACACCTGATGTATGGGGGCACGGTGATGGGGACACCTGATGTATGGGGGCACGGTGATGGGGACACCTGATGTATGGGGGCACGGTGATGGGGACACCTGATGTATGGGGGCACGGTGATGGGGACACCTGATGTATGGGGGCACGGTGATGGGGACACCTGATGTATGGGGACATTGTAATGGGGACACCTGATGTAAGGCAGCACTGTGATGGGGACACCTGATGGGGGTGCCTGATGTAAGGGGGCACTCTGATGGGGACACCTGATGTAAGGGGGCACTCTGATGGGGGTGCCTGATGTAAGGGGGCACTCTGATGGGGGTGCCTGATGCAAGGGGGCACTCTGATGGGGACGCCTGATGTAAGGGGGCACTCTGATGGGGGTGCCTGATGCAAGGGGGCACTCTGATGGGGGTGCCTGATGCAAGGGGGCACTCTGATGGGGGTGCCTGATGTAAGGGGGCACAGTGATGGGGACACCTGATGTAAGGGGGCACTGTGATGGATACACCTGATGTAAGTGGGCACAGTGATGGATACACCTGATGTAAGTGGGCACAGTGATGGGGACACCTGATGTAAGGGGGCACAGTGATGGGGATCTTTGCTAGCAGAACATTTTACAGACCAGCAGGGGCAGACTCAGGGGCGGACTGACAACTCATGGGGCCTTGGGCAATAGGGGATCATGGGGCCCCTGTGTCCTTGCCCAAACTAAAAAAAGCCTATGAAAAAGGTACCAGGGGCATCTCATGGGGCCCCCTACTGACCCCGGGCCCTCAGGCAGTGCCCGAGTTTCCAAATGGTCAGTCCGCCCCTGGTCAGACTGACAACTCATGGGGCCCCTGGTCAATAGGGGATCATGGGGCCCCTGTGTCCTCACCCACACTCAAACTACACCCACAAAAGCCTATGAAAGGTACTAGGGCCATCTCATGGGGCCCCCTACTGACCAGGGGCCCTCGGGCAGTGCCGCCCGAGTGCCTGAAAGGTCAGTCCGCCCCTGCAGACCAGAACATCTTGAATTTTAATTCAATACGGATGATATGAAGGAACTCTTTCCAGCTACAAGAAGTGCTGACATTGTGGGATTGGGGTGAGAACCTCTCAGCACACCCTCTCTTACACTGTAGATGGTGCCGGAGGAGAGATGTTGGCTCTATGGCAGTGGTCTTCACCCCAATCATCAGACAAGGAGAACACAATGTAACAATTGAGGGAACAATACACACGTCATACATTAGCAGACCTCCATCTGTGCTGGGATCCCTCACTTCCTAGGAAGGGCTGGCCTGGTCACTAATGAAAATCAGAGAAAAGAGAACCTGTCATCGGTGAGCTTTACATAGAACAGGCTGGTGATAGAAATCACATTCTTCCGCGCTCATCTCTGGTGCTCCTCTGTGGCATCCTCCCATAGTCACCTTCTGGACGTGGCACGTCTCTGCCACCCCCCCCCCCCCCCCCCCCCCCATGGCATTCAGGGTTTTCTAGTTCTCCCCTAGCTCTAGCTTCAATCAGAAGTTTACAGGTCACTGGGGGAAGATGGAGAGGACAGGAACGTCAGATAAAAGGGAGGACAGGTCAGGGTTGGCCGCTGCGACCCAAACTAACAGGTCAGCATGGTGCCAGATTATCGGAGCTGATAGGTAATATATATAATGGCACGCCTATGTATTGACAGCATTGTAGAGGTCAACCATGAAAACCCGACACCCTCATACACCATGTGCACCAGCCCTGTCCATTACATATTACTGACTGGCCTGACCAGCATCTTATTGATGGCTAAATAATGAATCTGAGAAGGGAAAGCGAGTTACTGTACATTGCATAGCTAGATAATAGATGGATGGATTAGTATATGGTGCGCAGTCATGTGGGAACAGGAAGGGGCCATCCTCAAACTCCTCCCACAAAGTTGGGAGCATGAAATTGTCCAAAATGTCTTGGTATGCTGCAGCCTTAAGCGTTCCCTTCACTGGAACTAGGGGGCCAAGCCCAACCCCTGAAAAACACCCCCACACCATAATCCCCCCTCCACCAAACTTTACACTTGGCACAATGCTGTCAGGCAAGTACCGTTCTCCTGGCAACCGCCAAACCCAGACACGTCCATCGGATTGCCAGACAGAGAAGCGTGATTGGTCCCTCCAGAGAACACGTCTCCACTAATCTAGAGTCCAGTGGCGGCGTGCTTTACACCACGGCATCCGACGCTTTGCATTGCACTTGGTGATGGAAGGCTTGGATGCAGCTACTTGGCCATGGAAACCGATTCCATGAAGCTCTCTACGCACTGTTGTTGGGCTCATCTGAAGGCCACACCAAGTTTGGAGGTCTTTAGCTATTGACTCTGCAGACAGTTGGCGACTTCTGCGCACTGTGCGCTTCAGTGTGCGCTGACCCCGCCCTGTCATGTGACGTGGCCTACCACTTGGTGGCTGAGTTGCTGTTGTTCCCAGTTGCTTCCACTTTGTTATAATCCCACTAACAGTTGAGCGTGGAATATTTAGTAGCCAGGAAATGTCCCGGATGGACTTATTGCCCAGGTGGCCACCTATCACGGGACCACGCTTGGAGTCACTGAGCTCCTGAGAGCGACCCATTCTTTCACCAATGTTTGTAGAAGCAGTCTGCATGCCTAGGGGCTTGATTGTATACACCTGTGTCCATGGAGGGGATTGGAACACCTGAATCACATGATTTGGAGGGGATTGGAACACCTGAATCACATGATATGGAGGGGATTGGAACACCTGAATCACATGATTGGGAGGGGATTGGAGCACCTGAATCACATGATTGGGAGGGGATGGGAACACCTGAATCACATGATATGGAGGGGATGGGAACACCTGAATCACATGATATGGAGGGGATTGCAACACCTGAATCACATGATTGGGAGGGGATTGGAGCACCTGAATCACATGATTGGGAGGGGATTGGAACACCTGAATCACATGATATGGAGGGGATTGGAACACCTGAATCACATGATTGGGAGGGCGGGGCCAATACTTTTGGAAAGAAAGAAAAGAAAGAAATGTACTGTTTTTACCAAGCAAACACAGAATCTCAAAAGGAAAGGAAAGCATTACATCGGGTTCACACTGGTGCAGAATTCTCACTGGTTTCTGTGCGATTTCCTCACCGCATCATAATTGCACCCTGTTCATGCGAACCGCTGCGGGTGTGTATGTTAACGACACCCCGAAATCCATTCGAAAAATGCGGTGCGATGTGCAGAATCAGAGCACACCTGTGCAATCCGATTCTGGTGCGCACAAAGAAAAAAAAAAAAAAAGGGTCCTGCACTTTTTTGGTGTGGATGCGTTGCGATTTGAGACACACAAAATGTACGACTCAAACTGCACCGCAATCGCATGAGATTTGCACAGGAATGCGGTACGGTTCCTTTGCGTATCACATGCATTGTGCCGCACCGCATCAGTGTGAACACCGCAAAAAAATTGACAAATTTAAACCTGTGCGAAAAAATAAATCCATTGCACTCTGTACATTTTTGGTGGTGAGCAAAGTCCAGGGCAGAGGCGGACTGACAACTCATGGGGCCCCCGGGCAAAAGGGGATCATGGGGCCCCTGTATCCTTGCCCACACTCAAAGCACACCCAAAAAATACCTATAAAAAAAAGGTACCAGGGCCATTTCATGGGGCCCCCTACTGACCCTGAGCCCTCGGGCAGTACCCAAGTGCTCAAATGGTCAGTCCGCCCCTGGGATTGACAGATGGATGAAGGAATATTATTATTATTCAGGATTTATGGCACCAACAGTTTGCTCAGCACTTTACAATATAACGGGAGACAATACAGCAACAATACAAGAGGGATAGGAGGGCCCTGATCCTGGGAGCTTACAATCTAGGAGGGAGGGGCTAGTGGTACAAACCACATAACTGTGGGGAATGGGCTGGTAGGAGGAGTAGTAGAAGATCCATTATTAGCTGAGGGCAGGATAGGCCTTCCCTGAAGAGATCGGTTTTCAGAGATCGCCTAAAAGTGGGCAGAGTAGGCGATAGTCTGATAGATTGGGGTAGAGAGATCCAGAGGATGGGGGAGGCTCTGGAGAAGTCCTGGAGAGGAGCATGGGAGGAGGAGACAAGGGAGCTAGAGAGCAGGAGATCAAGCAAGGAGCGGAGAGGACGGTTTGGGTGATATTTGGAGACAAGATCGGTGATGTATTTTGGGGCGGAGTTATAAATGACTTTATATGTTATTGTTAATGTTTTGAATTTTATTCGTTGGGCAATGGGAAGCCAGTGGAGGGATTGGCAGAGCAGGGTGGAGGACACTGAGTGGAGGTCAGTGGAGGGATTGGCAGAGAAGGGTGGAGGACACTGAGTGGAGGTCAATGGAGGGATTGGCAGAGAGGGGTGGAGGACACTGAGTGGAGGTCAGTGGAGGGATTGGCAGAGAAGGGTGGAGGACACTGAATGGAGGTCAATGGAGGGATTGGCAGAGAGGGGTGGAGGACACTGAGTGGAGGTCAGTGGAGGGATTGGCAGAGAGGGGTGGAGGACACTGAGTGGAGGCCAGTGGAGAGATGGGCAGAGAGGGGGTGGACGACACTGAGTGGAGGCCAGTGGAGGGATTGGCAGAGAGGGGTGGAGGACACTGAGTGGAGGCCAGTGGAGGGGTGGAGGACACTGAGTGGAGGCCAGTGGAGGGGATTGGCAGAGAGGGGTGGAGGACACTGATTGGAGGTCAGTGGAGGGATTGGCAGAGAGGGGGGAGGACACTGAATGGAGGTCAATGGAGGGATTGGCAGAGAGGGGTGGAGGACACTGAGTGGAGGTCAGTGGAGGGATTGGCAGAGAGGGGTGGAGGACACTGAGTGGAGGCCAGTGGAGAGATGGGCAGAGAGGGGTGGACGACACTGAGTGGAGGTCAGTGGAGGGATTGGCAGAGAGGGGTGGAGGACACTGAGTGGAGGCCAGTGGAGGGATTGGCAGAGAGGGGTGGAGGACACTAAGTGGAGGTCAGTGGAGGGATTGGCAGAGAGGGGTGGAGGACACTGAGTGGAGGCCAGTGGAGGGATGGGCAGAGAGGGGTGGACGACACTGAGTGGAGGCCAGTGGAGGGATTGGCAGAGAGGGGTGGAGGACACTGAGTGGAGGCCAGTGGAGGGGTGGAGGACACTGAGTGGAGGCCAGTGGAGGGATTGGCAGAGAGGGGTGGAGGACACTGAATGGAGGCCAGTGGAGGGATTGGCAGAGAGGGGTGGAGGACACTGATTGGAGGTCAGTGGAGGGATTGGCAGAGAGGGGTGGAGGACACTGAATGGAGGTCAATGGAGGGATTGGCAGAGAGGGGGTGGAGGACACTGAGTGGAGGTCAGTGGAGGGATTGGCAGAGAGGGGTGGAGGACACTGAGTGGAGGCCAGTGGAGGGATGGGCAGAGAGGGGTGGACGACACTGAGTGGAGGCCAGTGGAGGGGATTGGCAGAGAGGGGTGGAGGACACTGAGTGGAGGCCAGTGGAGGGATGGGCAGAAAAGGGTGGAGGACACTGAGTGGAGGCCAGTGGAGGGATTGGCAGAGAGGGGTGGAGGACACTGAGTGGAGGCCAGTGGAGGGATTGGCAGAGAGGGGTGGAGGACACTGAGTGGAGGCCAGTGGAGGGATGGGCAGAGAGGGGTGGACGACACTGAGTGGAGGCCAGTGGAGGGATTGGCAGAGAGGGGTGGAGGACACTGAGTGGAGGCCAGTGGAGGGGTGGAGGACACTGAGTGGAGGCCAGTGGAGGGATTGGCAGAGAGGGGTGGAGGACACTGAGTGGAGGTCAGTGGAGGGATTGGCAGAGAGGGGTGGAGGACACTGAGTGGAGGTCAGTGGAGGGATTGGCAGAGAGGGATGGAGGACACTGAATGGAGGTCAGTGGAGGGATTGGCAGAGAGGGATGGAGGACACTGAGTGGAGGTCAGTGGAGGGATTGGCAGAGAGGGATGGCGGACACTGAGTGGAGGCCAGTGGAGGGATTGGCAGAGGGGGGTGGAGGACACTGAGTGGAGGCCAGTGGAGGGAATGGCAGAGAGGGGTGGAGGACACTGGGTGGAGGCCACTGGAGGGATTGGCAGAGAGGGGTGATGGACACTGAGTGGAGGTCAGTGGAGGGATTGGCAGAGAGGGATGGAGGACACTGAATGGAGGTCAGTGGAGGGATTGGCAGAGAGGGATGGAGGACACTGAGTGTAGGTCAGTGGAGGGATTGGCAGAGAGGGATGGAGGACACTGAGTGGAGGCCAGTGGAGGGATTGGCAGAGGGGGGTGGAGGACACTGAGTGGAGGTCCAGTGGAGGGATTGGCAGAGGGGGATGGAGGACACTGAGTGGAGGCCAGTGGAGGGAATGGCAGAGAGTGGTGGAGGACACTGGGTGGAGGCCACTGGAGGGATTGGCAGAGAGGGGTGGCAGATATGGAATGGTTAGTACGGTGGATGAGTCTGGCGGCGGCATTCATAATAGACTAGATAGATGGATGGATCCAGGAAGGGTTGTGGACAGTGGGCAGGATTTGCGGTCCCCTCCTGCACTCCCAGTGACCACACCGGTCTGTGGCTGGCGGCACACATACATAGATGGAAGGATTGGGATGATCTCAGATGGGTTCTCTCCTCTTGGTGATATCAGTTCCTCTGGTAGACCACGTCTTCCTGTCCTAGGGGCCACTTCTGCTTGAACAGGAAATGCGGAAAGCACCAGAAACCTTCATAGATGATATTGCGTTCTGTGGAATATTGTACCAATGTTGGGTTCTATAGATTCCGATCACCGGAACCCGGTGCACCCCGTGTATGAGCCCCACAAATCCTAACCCAAAATCCAGCATCATCCTCCTGGCCACACACAGCCGTCTGCAGCAGAATTCAGGGATGATTGGAGGACAAGTTCTGCGGCGGGTCATTTGGGTTTCTGCCAAACCTTTCCTTCCAAATCCCAGCAGAGACTTGGAGCGGCAGCTGGACGACTCGTTCATCGTTGTCTTCCTATTCAGGCAAATCGAGAGCCTCATCTCTCCTCTTTCACCTGCTGACCCCAGAGCTCAAATGTCCTCTCCTATGATAGAAGAAGCTGGAACGTTCCGTGACAACAGGAGCAGAATTATCCATTAACGTGTCCCTGGAATCCCTGGAGAGTTCTAACCATCCCAACAGGGGCGGACTGACAACTCATGGGGCCCCCGGGCAATAGGGGATCATGGGGCCCCTGTGTCCTTGCCCAAACTCAAAAAACCCTATGAAAAAGGTACCAGGGGCATCTCATGGGGCCCCCTACTGACCCCGGGCCCTCGGGCAGTGTCGAGTTTCCAAATAGTCAGTCTGCCCCTGCATCCCAACAATTGATGGGCCAGAACCCCCGTCTGTCTGTTTTGGGTTTTTTTTCACTTTTTTCTGTCCTCCCTGGAAATCTTCACCATCACTTCTCACTTTGGGGGAGATTTCGTCTCACTTCCTGTCGTGTCACTTTGGGTTCTATCCATTAATGGTCATAAAATGAACTTTGTCTCAAAGTCCATCTAAAGTCTCATAAAAGAAACAAAAACTCTTCACCTTCCCTGACTGAGCAGAACCCTCCTCCACATCTCACCCGCTCCCCCTGCCAGACACTGCAGCTCATAGTGGGAGGGTGTTGATCTAGAAAGCAGTGGGCAGGACTGGGTGTGGCCATTCGACCACCTAAATTTGTGAATCTGCAGTGACAATGCTGATAGCCACACCTCCTTCAACAACTTCCCTCCCCCTCCCTCCCGCAGTGCAAGCAGGTACTGCCTGCATGAGAGTGACAACTCTACTCTGAATTCAAAAGCAGTGCAGCATTGTTGTCACCCCGTCATAGGGATCAAAAGGTATTTGTGGGACGGGAGGGGGCTCGTTCATACCTGTGGCTGTTATTGCCACCCTACTGAAAGATAATCTGCAGTGGATCGCTTTTAGGAGGGTGTTTGACAGGCAGGAAATGGGTGATATAGGATACATCCCCTCCTCACCACCTACCTTACCCTTCAAATGGCCAACCAACTGTGCAGCTGCGGGATCGTTTCTGCGCGCCCCCCCCCCCCCCCATTTACTTGAATGAGTAACACCCACGACATGCAGTTTAATTTTTGCTGTGCGCCTGAAGCATTGCAACTGCATTTCTGTGTTTAGGTGGGCGGTAAAACCGCAGCCCAACCTCCTGATTTTACTGCTTCCTGGCGCCCCAGCCCAGGAGAAAACTGCAAACTTTCAGACCCGGTTCACACCAATGCAGTGCGGGAAACGCTGCGAATCCTGTGTGTTTCTCGCACTGCATTGCAATCGCATCCCGCTCATGCGATCTGGTGCGGGTGTCACTGATGAATGAATGGAAGTGTACAATCCAGACGCACACGCTCCTGGCGGTGTGTATAAGTGGGTGCTGCAGGGACCGTCGGCTGGAACCGAACAGAATCAGCAAAAGCGAAATGTCACCAGCAAACCGAGGATCACCAATATGGGGCCAAACGGTTTAATGAACGATCGCACAGGTACAGCAAGGCAACGTTTCGGAGTCTCAGGACCCCTTCATCAGGCATGTGACCAATGACTGACACCCCGAAACAGATTGCAAAACCCAATGCGAATACCAGAAATCGCATCACATGCGCCAGAACACCCATGTGATTTAAAAGAGGGGTCCTGCGTGTTTTTTGGTGCGGTTGCAATTTGGCTTTACAAAGTGCACGGTGCAAATGGCACCATATAGACATTGGTCTGTAATCTGGACACGGATGCAGTGCGATTCCGGTGTGAATTACTGGCGGTGTCCCACGCTGCATAACGTGATGCCGGGCTGAGGACCACACTAAGGTCCCGTGTCTACCTGAATGCAGTGCGATTCCTGTGCAAATTACTTGCAGTGTCCCACGCCCAGGGGCGGACTGACCATTTGGAAACTTGGGGCCAGTAGGGGGCCCCATGAGATGCCCAGAGATGCCCCTGGTACCTTTTTCATATGCTTTTTTGAGTTTGGGCAAGGACACAGGGGCCCCATGATCCCCTATTGCCCGGGGGCCCCATGAGTTGTCAGTCCGCCCCTGTCCACGTCGCATAACATTAAGGTCCCATGCACCCGGAGATTCCGGTGCGAATTACCTGCGGTGTCCCACGTCGCATAATGTGCACCCGGGCTGAGGACACACTAAGGTCCCATATCTACCTGAATGCAGTGCGTGCGCGATTACCTGCAGTGTCCCACGCCACACAATGCGCCACATTAAGGTCCCATTTCCTGACAGTGCTTCCGGTGCAATTACCTGCAGTGTCCCACGCCACACAATGTGAAGCTGGGCTGAGGACCACATTAAGGTCCCATGCCTTCCTGAATGCAGTGCGATTCCTGTGCGAATTACTGGCGGTGTCCCATGCCGCATAACGTGAAGCGGGCTGAGGACCACACTAAGGTCCCATGTATAGTTGAATGCAGTGCGATTCCGGTGCGAATTACCTGCGGTGTCCCACGCCACACAATGTGCACCCGGGCTGAGGACCACACTAAGGTCCCATGCCCACCTGAATGCAGCACACCATAGCTCTAGCGATTTTGAGGCTCGCGGCACGCCATGTTCAGCAGCCTTTTAAAATGAATAGAAAGCAACTCACCCCCTGCACATAAATTGGAACCGTGCGGCACATTTTGCAGCACATTGCAGCGCACATTGGTCCCCCCCGTGGAGCAATGCACACTGGCAGGTGTTTGGGCGCGATTTAAAATGAATGGCACTGCGACGCCCTACCGCAACGCACCAACAGAGGTAATGTGAATGAGCCCCAAGTGTGGCGGCAATGAGGTGCTCACTGTACCTGCCCTATAGCGGGTTATTGTCTGATCATTCTGCGATGGTTGGATGGATTGTGGCCCTCGGAGGATGGGAATTCCCGGTCAGAGATTGCAGTCGCAGGTTCTGCATAACAGAATATAACAAATGATAGAATTTGCGGGAGTTTCCTATTATTGTGCAGATGACAAGCCACCTGTGTGTCCCCACCCCCCATCACCTTGAAGAACCTGACTGGTGTCACCGCAGCTCCCCGCAACATCCTCTGCACTGCGCCGCACCCTGGAGTCACCACCCACCCATCCGCCAGAAATCACTCAGCCCACAATC